ATCCACCGTCCCACTCACATTCCTAACCTTCAACCCCTGCACATCGTCCCAGGACTTGACATCCCTCTTCCCCTTCCACCCATTGGGCGCGACAAGAAACGAAAAACCAGTCGGACTCGCCGCACCATCCGGGTAGGTGAGTTCCAGACTGCCGGGGCCAACAACAGCTTGCAGTGCTTTGGTCTGCGCATACAGCGTGATCCATCCGACGCCGTCTTTCTCCTGTTCGGGCCGGGCCCACTGTACGACAGCCGGGTTGAAGGAATTCTGATTGATGCTGGGCCCGCCGATTACGTTTTCGGCAAACGAGGTAGCGCCAATGGTTAAGGTGGGGGAGAGCCAGGCGGAGATGTTGCGCGGGTAGGTGTCGTAGGGTGGGGAAAAGGCCGAGGTGGAAACGGAGTGTGTGGCGGGAAAAGTGGTCAGGGAGGACAAGGTAGTGTTGGGGACGAGGTTGTTGTGGAAGGGGGCGAGGATAGCGATCAAGGGGCCGATGGCGAAGTCGTTTTTGTGGCCCATTGCCCACGGTTTCTTGTGCATGGGGGCTTTTTCTTTGCCGACTAGCGTCCACATGTGCAGCGCGAGGATGCTCAGGTAGCGGTTCATGTCGAAGCCGTAGGCGCGGTCCCAGGGCCCGGCGACGTTTTTCAGGTTCGCGTTGTAGAGTTGGCCGAGGATACTCCATGTATCGCGGATCATGCGGGGACCGTACTCGCCCATGATGCTGTCGGCGGGAGAGAGGTACTTGGCCCATAGGGTAAGCGCGTACAGCGAGACACCAGCGTAGGTGCCAGAGTTGAATTCAGACAGCGTGTTATCGCGGGTGAAGAGGTCGATGATGTCTTTGGCGTAGGCTTCACCAGCGCTCGTCATGTTTGCGTCGTTGAGACGGCGGCCAATGTATCCAGAGACAAAGGCGCGCATGATGGATGGATTGCTGTACGCAGGGTACAGATTGTCATCGTCGACACCACCCACACGATAACTATCGCCAATAGTCGTGTTGTACAGACTCTCGAGAATATACGCTGTCGTGTCTTCCGGGAGGAGATGCGGGAATTCCTCGAGCATAATGACAAACGTGGTGCCAATGAAGCCGCGCCAGTTGGGGTCCCACGAGTTGTAGATTGAGGCTGGGTATTCTGGCGTACCGACATAGGGCTCTTCAGGATACTTTTGGTAATCGCCGTACCACTGCTCGCTCTCATTCTTGAATTGGCCCTGGATAATGTTGGTCACGATCCTGACGGCCTGCTCTACATCGTCGTTCTCGTTGCGTGCTAGCAGACCCGCGGCATACCAAGCGCTCGACCTGGTATCGTGCACCATGGCAGCCGCGTCCAAGTCGAACAGATATCCTCTTTCCGTGTCATAGTACATGTCCATCCAGTCCATTGACTCTTGCAGCAAACTCGTCGTGAAATCTTGCGTCTCATTGCGTGCGACCAAGCTGCGTCCGGCGAAGACATGCTGTGCGAAAAGTGCCGAAGCAACAGACAATCGGGAAAAGGCGACCATGGCGAGCGGTGTAAAACGAACAAGGAATGCTCAGCTCACAAAAAGAACAGGCCCATCACGTACTTGAGTACGGCGGCGACCTAGGCGGCCAAGCACCAGCATCCGAGGCCATATCCAAAGCGGTACTTGGAGAGGGGTTTCGGTATCTGATATGGCGAGATAACAATGATACCGGCATGGCGGTCTACCGTGCTCGTATGGGGCCCGGATAATTGTTGGCTAGTTCGTTCACAGTTGCGGGCTCGTAGTCAAAAGAGGAATGTCAAACCATGACTCGTGCCGACAAAACGTGACGGAACAAAATGACCAACCACAAGCATCGGACCATTTGCCCTTTGGATGGGCAGTTTTGCAAGCCAGACTACAGCATTTTTGCACCTGCACCGCTATAAAAATCGTCCATTGAGGGCCGACCCGTTCAACGTGGGAAAAGAAGCCAGTTCTCTGTTCCACCAGGCTGAACGGTCGCCACGCCGTTGACTTCCACGTGTTGTAGAGTGCAGTCGAAAGCTCTCTGGTCACGTGTCATTGTTCACAAACCCCTGTTCACGTGCCAGCACTAGCATGTCAGACTTGCATATCTCGGCCGCTACCATTGTTAGGCGTGTACGATACTTTATCTGCAATCATCACGGTGAGAAAAAGTGGAAGCAGCTCGGATGTCGGCAGCCTCGTGGAGACTGAGCAGAGGCTGCAAAGACGGTGGCAAACCGTAGCCGATCAAACGGGGCGGAAATGAAATCTGAGATTCACCACACCCTCGATGCGAGTCATTATAGCGTGTGACGAACATGTGGCGAAGGGCTTGTGGCGAAAAGCTTAAGGCAACCCAGACCGTCAGTAAAGCGAGTAAACACAGATGGACAATCAACAGAGAAGAAGGCATTGGCATTCTGGTTTTGGCATGCTCATTGTGCATGTGTAAAGAACCGTTCATTCGTTAACATCGATATCGCAACATCCAGGTCGCAGGTATATACATTGCAAGAAAAGCAGGATCCGGAAATAGATGCAACTACCAGGATAGCGATAGCCATCATTGCAATGAATGTCCTGCTGGAAAGGGCGGAAAGATTCCGTGGCAATAGAAATGGTTGCGCACCCCGCAAGTCAAAAAAAAATCCGAAGAGGAATGAGAGACGACGCCCAATTTCCCAGATAACGTACACATAAATATCAAACATACAAAGGAAATAAAAAAAAGACCTAATGGACAAGTTTCCATGGGTAGTTTCCAACCGGGTGGCAGATGAATGGCTCATGACTTCAGATCCTAGGAAAATGGCTCTCTATCCGGGTAGTTTTCTGTTTTGGTGGTGGGGAAATGGATTAAACTCCCTAAGGGGGCTTCCAGAAGACAGAAGATGGTCCATTAAAATATTAGG